GCAGCCCTCCCCCCCCCCCCCCCCCCTTTTCCCAATTTAGAGCGTCCTTTTCGTTGCCATTATCTCCGATCCGCTCATCTAATCAAATTGACTAAAGGTATTCTCTCACCTTTGCTGGACAGGTTTCGTCGTGGGATAGGAAGATCTTTGAGTGAGTGGTTGCTGAGTGCTCTGGTGTAGTTTGCTCCTTTTTTCTTATCAAATCAAAAATCTATCGTCTTTATCTCTCCTCCTTCTTTTTTGTGTATGTTTCTCTCTTGTAACACATCTACTCTTCGGCACTTTTATGACCTTATTGTGTTGCAAGTGCCGTAAAACTCTTACGAAAACTAAAAACTTTCTGTAAGTGATAAGAATCCCCCTCCTCCCAACCACACACACATACATACATACATACACACAAACACACACACACACGCTCTGACGCGCGCGCGCGCGCGCGCACACACACATATATATATATATATATATATATATATATTATATATATATATATATATATTATAGATAGATAGATAGATAGATAGATAGATAGATAGATAGATAGATAGATAGATATATATACGCACAGGCGCGCGCGCGCAACACCTCCCAGATATTTATTATTCTCTGATACCTCATTTTGCTGCCCACTTGATTTTTAGTTTAAGTAAGAGTTTTACAGCACTTGCAAAACAATAATGTCGTTTAAATGCCCAAGATTAGAGGTGTTGCAAGAGAGTAACAAAACAAAAAATAAGAAGGAAAGATAAGGACAATAAATTAGTCGGATACGAAGCAAAGGAGTAAACCACACTAAATCGTTCATCAACCAACCTCTCATCATCATCTAGTGCCAGATCTGCGACAGACATCGCCGATCATGGTTCTCCATTCGTTCATTTCCTCGGCTGTTCTTCATAAGCTACGCTTCCCTGATCTTTCTTCGTTACCCATTTGTTTACGTTCCCTGGGCCTACCCCCCCCCCTCCCCCCACGTTTGCCTTCAATTTTGAAAGTGAGAGCTAGATGCTGAAAACTTTTATGTTGAATTTTCTTTTTAATTTCCTTGATTATTCTGGGGATGTTACAGCAGTGGTTTCCCGTAGCCTACTGTCGGTTTGTGTACTGTTTTCTCTTCCAGCCTTTGCAACTTATTGCAATCCACACGGCAGTGGGGGCTTTGGTAGGATTTATGCCGCCTTCTTTCCCAAGATGGTCCCTTCTTCGAGTGTGTGAGGTATTTATTGAAGCACCTGTGCCACCAGGGTTCTACTCTATTCTCCACGATCATCTCAACCAACCACCCACTATTCGACTTTAAAAAACGGTCAAGGGCCAGAACCTATACGTTCTTATACTAACGTTCTCTGAACGCAAAACAGAGGTCCAAGAAAACTGTGAACCCTGAAATCAATCACTCCCGCCCCCCCCCCCCCCCCACTCCCCTTTTTTTGCCTAAGAGAATGTATGCAATAGGGTTTGTCTGACCTTAACTGCCAAACTGACCGGGGGGGGGGGGGGGGGGGGGGAGAAGAAGAAAAAATTAATTTTTTTTTCCGTTGCCGCGACCCACAAACCCCGGGGTCCCGAAAAAGAATATTCAAAGCCGGGGAGAAACCCCAATAATTTAACGGATATTATGAACGGTTTGAAGTAATAACCCAGGAATACAGTTTCCGAAAGGAGGGGACAGGAAAGAAAAGAAAAACTGTTTTTAAATCCACAAAAGTTTACCAAGGGATGTATGAGACAATAAGCGCGTCATAGTTTGTAATATTATTACACCAATCTTCCGTTGCTATTTGTTCCACTAATAAACGTCTGCTTTCCCCCCGATCAGTTGCCAGAATATTCATGTCTATGGAACATTAAGTTGCTTTTAAGTTAGGCAAAGTGTCTACGTCATATGAATTGAGACCAAAGTTTAAATAGTCTCTTACATAGACTGTTTACTTTCACCTATCTGAGGATCGGTGAGCCATTTCATTTGTTTCTATGAATAAACTGGACTAATTTGTGATCCCACCCCACCCTTTTTCACAAAAAATAAACAAATAGTTATCACTCTAATGCATTGTAGACAGACGGACGGACAGACAGACAGATAGATAGATAGATAGATAGATAGATAGATAGATAGATAGATAGATAGATAGACAGGATTTGCCAAACCCTCACTCTTGGTGATACAACCCAGTGCAAAATGTCGGGACGTGGAAAATAAACCAGTACTTGGGAAGCAAATAATAAAACTACGACAACAGCAAATCCGGACACGGATCTCCGGAACGTTTCCTGTACTTGACGTACGATTTCTGTTGCTCAGTTCCGTTGACGTCTTGTTTCGTCGTTCAAAGCAGCCGCTGTACACAACTCTCCGCGAAAAGCGTTTGGCTTGTAAAGGTTTAAAAAAACAACAACAAGAAGAGCATCAACGAAGGTGTACATTTTAACGCACATATAGTCGTAATTGGAATTGCTACTGTTGAATTTTGCAACGTCATAAGCAGTCCTCCCCCCCCCCCCCCCGCGCACAACTATCCACCCCCTCACATCCCCTCCCCCTCCCGCCATCCTTAATCATTACAGTCTATATCAAGACTGAGTGGTTTAGTAGTCTGATACAGCGGGCGGCTTATCCCTTTATAGATAAGAATTGAGGTTTTTTTCGCAGGTGTGGGGGGGGGGGGGTGTGGGGGCGTATAAGACTTAACTTTATTTACAATTTACGAGACAGGTGAAAGCATACAAACCTTATCTGTGAACTGATAAGAATTTCCGCGACAAACGTCTCTGATTGATATTGCTTTGTCATAGAAAGCGTTTGTAGTTAATTGACCCTTACGGCAACATGCCACGATAACGGTCATGTGGCGCCAGAAACTGTCTTATTTTTTTATAAATCTACCTTTTTGTTTTATTTTGTTGTAGTTTTTTTTGTTTTTGTTTATTGTGGGGTTTTTTGCTGTTCCTTTAAGCATTTGTTTTTACCTGAAAATGGCGGCACATCCAAACAACACAACCCGATCAATGCTCCAAAAGGAGTACTAAATTATTGTGTCGGTGATGCAGCGAGATGCTGGTCGGTGGGTAAGACACTCAGTGTCAATTAATTGATCATGCCTCTGAGCAAAAACCCTCGTCACTGAAAAGGCTACACAAAGCAATAAAACTCACAGCCATCGTGATTAAAACACCCTTGATCTTTTTTTTTTGACCTACATGTTCTGAGCAATTTTTTAAATTGTTGTTTTTGGTTACAGTATGTGTCATCTGAATACGTGAGTTAATTTGTGTCACGACGCGATGGAATCAGGCGCTCGTCATTTTTGGGGCTTAATGAGTTATTGATATCACGTTAAAACCTGTCAGAACACTCATTTAACTTGAATAAAACTTGAGATATTTGCGATTGAAGGGGTTGGAACTCGTCTGGTGTGAGGGTTCAACTTAGCGAGGAAATTGCCGCAAAAATTTGGTGACTTCCAAATCTGTATTGTCCTTAGAAACTGCATGTTTGCATGTTCTTCCGTTAAATCTACACAGAAATAATATCTTTTTAAATAGGTATGCATGGTATTGAGCCCACCCACAAAGTACTCAAGGGGCGAAGACACGTCGGTTTCTCCGGTTTAATTATTATGACGAGCGGTTAATTTCACTACAATGATTCACAATTTTATTTTGCGCCCACGATCTCCTTTAAACTTAAGGGAGGGAGGTGCTGTGAACAACGAAGTGCTATCGTTTCACTGGGCTCTTGCTTGAAAGTTTAACATCAAAGCAACCTGTGTCCTTTTCGGTTTGGTTTGTCTTACACCTCAGAAAACAAGGCGTGAAACGTCAATGATATGATAAAATCTATGAATTCTGACTGTATCCTCTTTCTCATCTCCAACCCTAAGAGGATATATTGCATATTATTTCAGTTCCTTTTCCCCCCAAAAGATATGTTTTAATGTGCCTTTAGTTGTCTGCCAGAATGTTTTTCTTGTCGTTAGCCGTTAGCCCTTTGTGGGGATAACGAGAGAGAGAGATGGGGGGAAGGGGTGTAGACAGACAGACAGACAGGCGGACAGGCAGGCAGACAGACAGACAGACAGACAGACAGACAGACAGACAGACAGACAGGCAGACAGGCAGACAGAAAGACAGACAGACAGACAGACAGACAGACAGACAGACAGACTAGGTCAGCTTGTCTGCTGTTTGGGTATCGTAAACACCTGTATGGTCTGTTATGAAGATCCATAAAAATGTGACTCGAAAAATCTCACAGACTGTATCTGGTTAGGTTTTCTTTTTATCCACCTCGGTATCATTTTGGAAATGTTGAAAAGAGAAAGCGAGAGAATGTTTTTAAAAAAAATTAAAGATAAAAAATATGTTTAAAAGAACTGTATATAAAGTAGAGAAATTAATTAGAGAGAAAGACATGGAGAGACAGAAATGAAGAGGGGGGAGAGAGAGAGAGAGAGAGAGAGAGAGAGAGAGAGAGAGAGAGAGAGAGAGAGAGAGAGAGAGAGAAACCGAGACAGAGAGACAGACAGATTGACAGACAGACAGACACAGAAAAGGGCAGAGGGTACGAGGAGAGAGAAAAAAGTGAGTGTGTGTGTGTGTGTATGTGTGTGTGTGTGTGTGTGTTTGTGTGTGTGTGTGTGTGTGTGTATGTGTGTGTGTGCTTGGGAGAGAGAGAAAGAAAGAGAGAAAGAGAGAGAGAGAGAGAGAGCTGTGGGGCGGGGGGGGGGCAGGCAAACAAATAGAGAAATGCACTGTGCATATGTGTGGAAGAGGGAGGGGGGTGCAGGGGAGAAACAAAGACAGCTAGCAAGAGAGATGTTGTTGAACTCATTAATATAAAAAACATAACAGTACAATGGTTATTTTGAATAACAAACGCCCTGTCCAACGACCAGTTACCCCATTTTAGACAGTACTCTTGTCATTGTTTTTACAGAGCGACTGTCCACAACCACTGTCCCTGTAATTAAACAGAAAACTCTCATAACCTCGTCTGTGACCAGCGATCATTGTTTTATAACCAGAATGTGGCCTTGTATTCCTATCGTGGAGAGCTTTCGGATGATATACGAGATACAACTTCCGTTTTACCAAATAGTAGCGTCAGAACGGACACGCTAGTTCCGTTTTGGGTTTATCAGCCCATTCGTTCAGCACATGTTCCTTTATCTTTGTCTCGATCTTAGTACTATTTTTTACACCTCTACTATTATATATGTAGGCGCACGTAGTTTCTCTTCCAATCCATTGCTTATTTGATTGTCACGGTCTTTTGAACCGAATACCAACATCTAATAAAGCTTGCGGGATACGTTTTTGTTCTCGCCCGGTCGTCTCGAGGAGTGTAGGTGATTAGTGGAAGCTGTTATTCTTTATTACTATAGATCCACATAGGATACTATAAAAACTGCCCGTGCTTCCGATCTTGTACAGGTCTTCCCTGAACCTCATCACAGCAAGTATTTGGGGACTTCAGAAAGCTGACCAAAAAGCACTTGTGAGTGTATCTCCTTATTTTATTTTATTTTTCTATGCTTACGTAATCTTCTTGATAGTCCAAATAACGTGGAGAAATTCTGTAGAGAAAACACTCATCTCTCCAATTATGTAGAACGCCGATTGTATTGCTCATGCAGCTTTTTATATGCACACTAACTGAATAAAGTATGTTTTTATTGAGTTCATTGTATTAATATCCTAACGAATCATAGCCTTGATCCCCGTAAATGTTGTATCTCATTGACCTAAGAGTAACACAGTGCATAGCTTAATAATAATAATAATAATTGTAATAAATAACATTTATACAGAGCTATGTCCCGTCAAGAAACGAGCTCTGAGCAAGTATTTATTGTCAACACTATACAGACGCACACAAATGTGACACGACACGATGGAATCAGGCACTCGTCCATTTTTGGGCATGCAGAATAATTCGTATCATCTTAACGTTAGCATTTACTTGACTTTAACGAAAAAAAGACTTATCTATCTTGAATATAAGCTGGGATATTTCAGATTAAATGAGGTGGCTACGTGTCAGATGTGAAGGTAACGAGAAACTGGCCGCCAAAGGTTGACAACTCGTAAAGCTAAAGTTTCCTTGGAGACTGCACATTATATTTTGGGTGCATTTGATCAATGTTTTTCTCCAAAATCCACGCAAAAACATGTGTTTTTGGTAGACGTAAAAGGTGTTGTGTAAAAAAAAAGTTTAAAATGGTCAGACGGGTGTACAAATTTCGGTTTCTTCGATTTCATTATTTTGACGAACGCCTGACTTCATCTCGATGCAACAGAAATATATTGGCTGATGAGGAGAAAAAATGACAGTAGTCATGAACTAAAGAGATGTGGGTAAGCTACCGGACTCGTAATCATTTGGTTGCGGGTTCGGAGGTTCGAGCAGCGGCCCTGACGTTGTGTCCTTGAGAAAGGCAATGTACACGAATTTCCCTCTCTTCTCCCAGGTGGGAATGGGTAACCGGCCATAAATAGGGAAAGATCTTGTCAGTATGTTAGTGTTTTAACGCCTATAAATGGCTGCTTGCACTGTATGCTTCCCAGGAAGTTGGGGTTGTTTCATAATGCTGTCAAGTCTGCAGGGGTAATAGTATGGATTGTGAAGCACATAGAGCGTGCTGTTGAGCGGGGATTTGCGTAATACAAATGGTATCTATTATTATTACTGTTATTATTATTATTATTATTATTATCATTATCATTATTATTATTCTGTGTATTCAAATGTGTTTTAAAAGACCAGGAGTTCTCAGGAAAGACGGGCATAGTCTCAAACTGAAGATCGTGATTGTTTACATTTTAAACGCGTGTTGACTCATAACTGTATTTCTGTTCAACTGTTTGTTAAATATTGTTGATAGATTTCCGATTCAACAAACATAACAGTGAACCACCAGTCAAACAAATACGAAGTTATGAGTCCTCAAGCTTTTATAATTGATACCTTCACAATTTCCAGTTTATGACTATGCCCGTTTTTCCCTAGGGCTTCTCAGGCAGAAATTTCTATTTCTCTTAGTTTTTGTGGGAAGGTGTTCCGGGTTTTAGGACCAGCAAATGCAGAACAAATCGTTCATTTTTTTTTCAAATTACTTTGATTTATACGTTTGTATTCATAATTTAGCGGCGCCAGGTTATGACCTCAGTTGTTTTGATGGAATGCACGGAATCAGCATTTCTTTTAGATGTGGGTGTAAATTACTGTTCAAACATTTAGGAGAAAGTAAACAATCCATACCTCATTCTTTTTTTCTAGTGGCGGTCGTCGGAAATGTTCTAAGGGCCATGATTTTAGTCTCTTTTGATTTTTCTCGGGATTTAATGAGCAGAGTTATTCGTAATAACTCTTATTCTTTGAGTTTATATGTCTCCTTTTTAGAGGCAGGTCCGCTATAAAAGAATTGCCATATACGTGTGTATTTGTGTTTGTGTTTGTGTGAGTGTGTTTGTGTGTGTGTGTATATATGTGTATGTGTTTGTGTATGGAGGGGGGTGCTTGTGTTTGT